AACACGAAGCTACCTAGTGCCTTGCCAACACATCTGCTCTGGGGAATGTTTTTCATTTTGATCAGAAGCAGCTAACTTGGACTTGGTAACATCTACTGACTCTCACACCAGGGAAGGTAAATCAGGACTCGGACTTGTATTTGCATACAGAATGCCAGATTCTTATCTCCATTTCATAACGTACATTGCCAAGCTCTGCTAAAACTGCCTGGTGCCTGTGGTTTTGAGCAGAATGATAGATGTTTTCCAAATCTGAGATCACAGTTTGACCTTTAAGTTTCATGTGTGTTGTGTGCTTTCATTATTCTTTTTTCCTCGTGATGCTCAACAAAGATTTCAGAAAAAAAGAGTTCCTCTCTGAGGAAATGAGGAAATGCCTTGTAAGGACTAGAAAGGGAGACTGGGAGCCCTGGATTTTGCCTGATGACTTTCTGTGTGACCATAGTTTATCCACCCGAGGAGTTGATGTAGTGTTATTCCTATGGGATTAAGATGAAGCTTTGGGAATGTTAGAAATGTTAGTTTGGGATCTTCAAAAGCATAAAGGAGGTGATGAAAATGGAAGAGGATAGTGGTGTTTGAAGTGGGAACACAGAAAAATAAAGTAAGAGGGGAATGCTTTTGGGAGGGTCAGATTACAAAAGTTTGTGCTCAGTATCCACCATGACATTTCTGGTTCCTATTCTGTAATTCAAAACAGCTGTTTCTTACAGAAATAGACAATCACTGGATGCCCACCAGGCACCGAGGCTTTGCTGCAGATAATTATGATCTGATGAATGAGCTGCATCTCGGGCTGGGCTCAAACAATGGCTTGCCAGGAGCTCTGCCATCCCACGGGGAAGGCGCTGATGCTCTCCAGCTCCTCCTCTATCGCTCTGGCAGAGAGCCGCAAATGGTCCCCGCTCTGCCTGAGAGCACGTAGCCATCGGTAGTTTCTGCAACGGTAGTTACATAAGGACGTTGGGTGATCAAAGAGCAGTCTAATTGTGTTGGATGGATCAGCAATTTGTGGTGGCTGAAAAGCCAGATGCGTAAACTGCAGCTTGTATTGTGCCCTCTCCAAATGGTTAGATGTGCCCTCTGATGGCTGCTGTAGCTGGGTCAGATCCATTTGAGGTTGATGGTAGCCAGAGGTTGAAACTATTAGATGTCTGTCAGGGATGTGTGCTCAGGGAGCCGGAGGAAGCGGTGCTTACCCAACCGTGCGGCGCAATGCGTGGAGCCGCAGAGGGTGCACCTCAGGACCAACTCAATGAAGTGGGCTGTCTTTTGCATTGCAGATACTAACAAACTGTACAAGCTGGGAACTCCTTCAAACTGCATGAATGAGTTTGCCAATGACTTGCCAAAATATGCAGATTATTCCTTCTCCTATTGCGCATTGGTTTAATTAGAGATTCAGGGAACCACCTGACTCTACCTATAAATCCTACCAGCTACATCAGCAGGTAAGCCACTCTGCACCAAAGACCAGCAAAACTGCAGGCTGTTTGTCACTATTTGTGTTACAGCAGTTTTCAAAATTCCCTTTTAGGATTGGCCCCCGCTTTGCTCAATAATAAAAACTTTGCAATGCTTCTTTTACAAAGCATGATGCATCTCACAGATGCTTAGCTTGTCTTTAATTGGAGTTTTTTGATGTATTCTACGTGCTTCCTGTGCTGACTTCAAACTCTCTCAGGGCAGAAAAATTATAAAATAAGGAAAGAGGGACAGAAGAAAGAATGAAAGTCTTTGTTTTTCTTATGTAGCACCAATCTGTGCCAGCCTGATTTCTAAACAGAAACTTTAAATAGAAATGCATGTTTTGCTTTGATTGAAATATCCCAGAAAAATAAACCAAAGTTATCCCAAAATAGTTTGTGAACTACAATAGCTTGATGAAAGTCTCTTTACAGTATTTCACCATGCTTTGAATTCCTTGAGATTTACCCAGCCTTCTTCTTCACCCTCCCTAAATGCAGAATCACTGTGGGACATCTAACAAGATTTAATGCAGAATCTTCACTGTTTGTGAACCTGCACAGTTCAGGACGGGTGATTTTGGGACGGTCTTTGTGCACTCTCTTTTCCTGTGCAGTGACGTAATTTTAGACCTACTGAACTAGGAACAAACAGGAGATCCACTATAATTTTTTCCTGTGTTGATATGAACCAGGATGTCCTACTGAAGTATACAGAGATGCAGTGCTGTAAAAGTACTAAGTAATCATTCTCACACCTGTGTGTATTTATTACATAAACATCTGAACATACATATCCCTTATCTGATTGTCTGTGCTTTGAAACAAACTTTTCGGCACCTAATTCAGCAGTTGTGTTGGATGAGAGCCTGGAGCTTTCTGATTCCGCAGGTTGGTCGGTCATTTTGTGCCCTATACAACAAACTGCATTAGCTCAGCTCTGCTTTCCTGTTGAAATAGCAGGTGGAAATCTGGAGAATCTGTGCTAAGGGATTGTGGAGGCCCTTTTGCTGTGTGCACTTTTCATGAACATTTGAGAGGACAACATTCAGTCGCTTCGATCTCATTTCTTTAATAACTCCCTGAAACAAATAGGTGCAATTTAGGCCGTGCTGAAAAAAAAAAAGAAGAGCAGCATCTATTTCAGTGTATTATCTATGTGCAGTGAGACACTACTAGTAACACCACGGTTTAGCTTAGAGAAAGGCGCAGAGGGTTCAATTCAGCTGCTGTGTGAAGAGGGGTTGGACTCATCCTTATTAATGAAACCAAGACCCAGAGCTTTGAATTGACCCACTGTCTTGCAGAAAATCCGGTATCCCAAGAGAACCGAGCAGTTCTTTACAGTGCTTGTGCTTTTCTGTTCATTCACAGTTTGTTTGTTAGATGTCATTTGCATGAACAGGCAAAGAGTGTTTCAGTTCTGTTCCATCAACGTTTTCAAGCCAAGTTTCATTTTGGCACGCAACAGCGATACAGTTGTTCTGCTACTCAACTATTGTTAAAAGAGGCTTAGGTTAAATTCTGGAAGTTAATGAGAGAGCGGTGTGCAGCAATTTGGATTATGCTTTATGAACTAATTAAATACTTATTTACATGCTGTGTTTACTGTCCTCTATACACAGGAGCTTTTGTTCAGTACTCATTTCATGTATAGGTAATTTACAGCTTATTTCAGGCTCATATCCTTGACGCGTGTGCTCTCTTCCCGCTACAGAGTGAGGCAAATTGATATCCTTGCCTCCCTTGACAACAGGCAAGGGTCCTTTTCCTGGGTGAAAGAATTTTTGTAAAGCAAAATGAGTGTTTATATCTTACCTCTTTATAATCTGTATCCAGTAATGGTCCTCAAACTAGAAGTAAAAGATTTTTTTCAATGAAGGAATATAAAGTTAGTCTTCTAAAGTCTTCTTTAGACATGCAAATAAAGGATCGGATTTCCAGATGTATTGTTTGCAAAGCAGATCTGAACAGATCTGCTGCTTTACATCGCCATGAAAACAGCGGCCCCTGAAGCCAGTCATAGCCACGGGCTCCTCACTCACCATCTTCCAGCCGAGGATCTGCTCATCAACCAGTAACGAACCTGGATCCCCAGCATCCCACAGCGCGTTTACCCCCAGTGCCCGGGCAGATGCCCTGCAGGGTGCGAGTCTGCTCCTGGAGCCACGGTTCAGCCACGCTGGCTCCGCACCATCGGCACATGATGCTCTGGACTTTTGAAAACTTGGACTTTTGCCAGGCATAAAATCAGGCTCTTATTTCCAGAAATACTGATAAAATGAATTTAAATTCACTTTAAAATGTCAATGGGGATTGCTTAGCAAAACCTACACTGATGTATTTAGTTTTAATGATTTTTACAGAGATAAAAGATGGGCCATTAAAACTGGGGCTGCTTGAAGAAACAGGACATTATTTACTAGGTTTCTAATGAAAGGTTTTCTGAAAGTTACTTATTAGCGTGTGGTAATGAATCTGTTTTGTAGGAATAAATTAAATTTGGGTGCAGCTAGCAAAGCCGTCCAGTTTGGTACAACCTTTACCGAGGGAAGGAGGTTTTAGGAAAGATGCTTGCCTTGCAGGGAATCTCATCTGCCTCATCTAATTTGTAAAGCTAAACCCCTGCCATTTGGCTGAGTCTCATGCAGTCTTCATCACCAAATACCCAAATCAGCTGCTTTAACAGTTAATATTTGCCTAGCTTGCTTGTAGCAGTGCTTCTTAAGTAATCTTTATACATCCACATTTCATTCTCTAAATATTTACAGTTTTCAGTATTCCTGGGGTGATTTCCCCATGTGCACGTTCAGTTATGTAGCTCTAGTGTAATAAAGAAGACAGTTTTTAATTTGCTGGCATTTTGTAGCTTTTGCTCTGCTTGCAAAGTTTAACATTGATTAGTTCTGACACACAATAAAGGCAGCCCATGTGGCCGACCATGCTTTTCCAGGGAGGTATATCCCCTTGTCAGAGTGTGATGTGATGGGTCCCAGATGGAAGCGTTACAGGGTGCAGCTGAGCCGACCCAGCAAATGGCTCTCCGGAGAGAGGTCCTCTCCCTCTGCTCACTTGTCCCCTTCCTTCTACATGGTCCCACCCTGCAGAGAGCTATCCAGGATTTTGCTTGGCTTTCTGGGCTCCAGCCGGCACACACAGCTGGGGTGAGGTAGGGAGGAGCTGGGAATCTTCCTTCTTAGCAGCAGTAGCTGTTAGATCAGCTCAGCTGCATCGTTTAGGTGCACCATGATACGTATAAATCTGTTTAGGCTGACATTTAAATACCTGTTAATACGAAGTCTCTGATGATGCATTGATTTTAAATGATTTCCTGAATTACGGCCTGTTGGGAGGCTGCAACGGAGTTTAGAAAAGAAAGCATTCCCTCTCACATCAGTGGAATTTTCACCATTTTATATATGATCACAAAGTGATCTTTGGCTTAATGACAGTCCATAAAAGGTACTGCTGTATCACTGCTTTTATAGTTACTTGTTGCCAGCACCGTGGTTAAAGTGCTGAACTCTTTTGCAGGTTAATGAAATTTATCATGATGAGTCCCTGGGTGCTCACATTAATGTTGTCTTGGTGAGGATCATCCTGCTGAGCTACGGCAAGGTAAGTAAAGGTTAATTTAAATGGAGGATATCAATATCTCTGAACTTCATTCTTTTATGAACAATGTAGTTACTGGTGACATATATCGTTTTTGTATTTTAATTCATACATTGTCCTTACCACTCTATGAATATAAAGAACTTTTATGTTTTTATGTATTTTTTTTATCATTTGAACTTCACATTTCAAATAATTTCAATTTCTTCTGGGTTTTCCCTGTGTCATTTTAAGTTTCTGCTTAGCTCTGTCAGTCTGTCTTTTCAGATTTGGTTGGAATAATCCATGAAACATAGTGAACATTTTGGTCCCTAAAGAAAACATGAGGTGATGTGGTAGAACTGTAAGTAACGATAAACACAAGACCAGTTCTGCGAGATGCTGAGGGCTACAGCCTCATTCCAAGAACTCACTTAAACTTGTGCTTAATATTAATGGGACTACACATGTGCTTAATGTTAAGTGCGAATTCTGTGGAATAGGGGCCAGAAGGCAAGAGCTCTGCAGATCAAATCTGTAATTAAGAATACCACGTGTTCTTCGCTGTTCCTATGTAAGGACAAAACTACAACTCCAGGCAAAACTTGGGTAAAGAGGAATGAAATGCTAAATGGTTTTCAGAAGTATTGAACTGCTCAGTACCTGTGTCCTATTTTTCCCAAATCGACATTAAATTCCATGGGAACAGGAACAGGGCGTTTCAAGTGTGTTGATAAATGCTTTGGTTAAGGACATGCTATTTTCATGCTAGTACAGGAGCATGCCCAGCTGCTCAAAGCAGAATGTTAAAATCTAGTGTCCCTTTGTCTGTGATTGAAGTTGCTGGCATTTGTGTGTGCATGGAATAAATCTGGGTTCCGGGAGACTCTGTGAATGTTCATGCAAGTTGCTGAAAGCCGTCAGTGAAGGGCCAGCGAAGACGCTCTCAGTGGTGAAGCTCCACTGACGTTCACCCGTTTACCCTGCTCGGCACCAGCTAAGAATTTTCCTCCCTGGTGCTAATGAAGGAGGTCTGAGTTTTACTTTGTGCTCTGCTGGAGGCCAGTTACCTGGATTTGGGATATATTGTTCTGTTGGAGCGTGCCCATCTAAGAATTAAACACACTGATCCATCTCCCCTTTCCTGCAGTGATGTAGGTGATGATGTAGTTACATGTTTTGGATAAGCTTAATCAGATGTGTGTCCTAAAATAAAAGGTAAAAAAGATCACTTTTGCCATTTTTGTGACAAAAGTTCATGGTGTGTATAGTTAACATTAAATTACAAAATAAATGAAATATGTTTGTGATTGCTGTAATGACAGCAGTTTGAGGGATTGAAGATTGGCTAATAATTCTCATAAATATCTGATATTGCAGTAGTGGTAGAAGCCAGAAGAATTAGCACATGGGCTAGTCACTTCTTTGCTGTCCGTATTTCATAAGTATTTCATAATTGTTATTTGTGTCCTTCTTTAGCTCTATAGATCTGCACCAGTCTGAACTCTCATAACTTCTGCTGGTTTTCTAATGGCAGACAATAGTATCTTCACCTTAAGAATCTTTATTTTCTTACAAAGAGTAAAGTGTTGTCCATTGATAATTTGAAAGTTGTCGATTTCATATTAGTCATCTTTAGAGAGGAGAGTGGGTCAGACCACGGAAACCTTGACTTCTTGGTGGGTCTTTGGCCACATCACAAAAATAGCCATTGCAGGTAGCACTATGTAATCTGCTTGTGGATAGTCTGCTTCTGGATTCTAGATCTGTAATCTGTAGTGGATGATGTTTTAGTTTCTGAGTTATCTTGCTGGTTTCAGGAGGGCATAAAGTGAAATAATTCTAGTATCACAAGCTTGCCCTAAGTAACAGTGAAGGTAATTCTTCTTGCATTTCTGTATCTGATTCTTATTTACATGAAAGGCAGTTTATGGCCTCCTGAAAAAAGTAAAATGAATGTACAAGGTATCATTTCAGAGCTCCTTCACCTGATGGTGTGGGGGTCTGCATGCCCTGGCTGTATAAAAATAAAATTTTTTATATTCATATTTTTAAAGCTGCTGATCGGGGGACTAGTACCAGGGAGTAGGAGGTGAGGAGGTTTTTCTTTGGAGGTTTGGGATTATTTAGCAGAAGAAAAGCAGAGAGAAGGTGTATAGTTCTTACTTTCTGAACCCATTCTGAGAAATTAGAACAAAGCCTTCAATATTTTACTATCCCACTAAAACACACTAATGCTAACAATTTTTAGGAATCTATATTCAAAGTACATAACAAAAGGATGAGCGCATGTACAAGTTAAGGCAGTGCATGAATGAAGCAGCCTGGATGGCTTCACAATATGAAAATATTATCCAAGTCTTGTTTGAGTAAGCATTTCTTTTGAAAGCATGTAGCTGATATCTTCGGTTTCATTTGCTTCATTGTAGGCAATTTATATATATTATCAAGGGTGCCATTTAAATAATCATAATAATTACATTATGGTTCTGTAATTGATGAAGTATGTACCATCAATGTCAGGTTTATGACAGCACTCTGAGCTATTGCCAATTCCCCACCTCTGAACAGCCTTCTACTGTATTGTGTTTTAAAAGAGGATTATATTATTTTATACAATATGTCATCTGTTGATAAGAATAATGTGGACAATACTCGAGTTGCATAGCAACCAGCTTTTCAGTGATTCTTGCTTGAAGCTACTCCATTCCTTGAAATGTGCTTATTTTTTAATATTTTCAAACACAGGCAACTGTACATTCAAAAGTTTCAATAATTTCAGTAATTGCATTAATTGTCCTGGTAAGATGAAAAAATGGAAGACGTTCCTTGGTGATCCCATGTTGCAATTACTTCAGGGGCAAATTCAAAAGGTCTGACACGGTTTTACTGAATTGACACTTTGCGTAAGTTATCGCTGGCTGGGTGGTGAGTTGGAGGAGAGGGCAGCGCGGGGCTGTGCTGTGTCTGGGATATGCGTGCTGAAGTGACCAGCCCTTTCCTGAGTCCCCACTTTTCTCTTAGCCCTCCAAACAAACGAACAACACTATCTGACATACCCGAGGGGCTGATGTGAAGGCTTTGACCATGCCTGGCTGCTGCCCACTTATTTACCAATTCCATCAATAAGATAGAAAAATGCGTCCTGCAAAGGCTGCTCTATATCTGCGGTGGCTTCGGAAGCTATCATGCATTTCTCTGCTTTTTCTTGACATCGACTCCCAAAGTCACAGGCTTTTTTGATGTGATGGGATACTGCAAATAAGTAAATGGGGTACGTGCAGTGCATTTTGCTTCAAATGGGAAAAAGATGAGCTGGCTCACTTCTGCCTTTTTGCTTTCAGTAGTAGGAAGATTTGTTCCAAATTTTGGAAACTGCAGATACATTTGAGATGAATATAATTCAACATTTGGGCAAATTATTCCATTTAGACCTATTTCGGTTGTAACGGCTCTGTAATCCAGCTAGCTCAGGGGAATAAGCAAAGCAACCACTATCACCAAGTACAGGGGAGGTGGCAAGAGATGAGCTGAGAATGGATTTAAAAACCCTGACTGGTTATTATAAAATTTGTTTGGAAACATTTAAATCCTGAGCACTGCATAAAATCCTCTCATCGCCTCTTTGAGGTGGATGAATAAAGATTATTATTCCCATTTTACAGCTAAAAAAACAAAGACCTTAAGTGTTATTTTCCAAGGCCACACGGAAGGCCACTGGCAGGCTGGGGAGAAGACCTCATAAATTCCTGGCTCCAGCCCCACGCTCTGTCCATCGACAATGGTGACTTTGTGTGCAGATGAGCTGCCCTTGCACAGCGGCAGAGAAAAGCACGCACATTAGCTGGGGTGGGTGTAATTAAGACAGTTATTAATGAAAAAAAAAAAAGTAAAAAATACTTCTGCAGGAACTGCAGCGTTTTCAATAAATGCAGCCACCTGAGGATTTATGAGGGTTATTTCTTGGGAAATGTGAACGTGGCAGTGCAGGATACCCCTGAACTCTCCTTTGGAGCGATGTGCACGGCTCAAGTCACCCATATTCAGACTGGAACTGGGTGGGATAGGCTGAGGGATGCTGAGTCTGCTCTGTACACATCTGGGATAGCAACCAGGAGGGAGAGAAAACCCATGTTAGCTATAAAACAGTGCTGGCCCCAGAACAAGTGGTTGTACTCTGGCCATGTGTTAACTTGGTCAAGTTGAATGAAGAACCTGACCACCAAGGTAGAGAGTCTTTCAAAAAGATTAGGGGAGAGAAAAAAACCAAATGGCTTTAAGATGGCAGTTGAGGAAGAAGGGAGTACGGGGTGGATGCCTGCGATCTCATAGGACAGGGCTGTTCAACTGAGCAGGATTTCTCAATTGTGTATGTCTGAGATGTTTGCAGAGCTTCTGCTGTCTTCATTTGGGACAAGATTTTACCTTCGATCTTTTCATAAAATGGTGCTCTCTTTATCTCTGCCATCTGACCTTTTCATGTGTAAGCTTGATGCAAGCAGGGAAGATGTTCTCAGTTCAGCCAGGATGGAAAGCGGTGGTTTGGTCTGAGCCACGTTGTTCTCTGTTTCCCAGAGGGTGGCAGAGGTGGCACAGCTGAGATGGAAGGACAAGCCAAGTTTATCCCTTAAAGCTGATGTTCGTCCTTACCATTTTGCTATTGACCGTGGTTGGAGGGAAAGGGATGAGTGCTGTCCTCATCTCTGCCTGTCCTGGGAAGAGGTGAAGACTCTGGCTGGGAGCAGTAAGCAAGGGAGTTGTTAGCTGTACATTAGGGTCACAGAATAGCTGTGCCTGGAAGGGACCTCTGGGCATCATCTGGTCCAAAGGCCCCGCTCAAACATGGTCACCTAGAGCAGGTTGCTTGGAACCTTTTCCAGCTGGGTTTTTAATATCTCCAAAGACAGATACTCCACAACATCTCTGGGCAACCTTTCCCAATGTTTGACCACTCTTACAGTAAGCCTACAGTAATGCTCTTACAGTTTTTTTTCTTGCATTTAAATGGAATTTCTTATATTTAA